CGCACAAGACACACAGCGAGGAAGAAAAAAAAGGGGGGGGGGGTGTGTGGAACTTTACAGGATAGAAAGGCTGTTGCATGCTTGGGGTGTTGATCCAGTTGCCACAACACTTGCTGCCTCAATGGTTGCTATGTGTGAAATCCTTGGCAATAGCTCTGCATTGCTTTTTCCTAGAGCAAGCATCCAAAGGGATTTTCAGCTCAGCTGAACTGACAAAAGTCATGGAGAGGGAGGAGGGAAAGAAGGGAAGGAGGTACAGGAGGGACCTGAGGGAGCTATGCTTGGGGTGTTGATCCAGTTGCCACAACACTTGCTGCCTCAATGGTTGCTATGTGTGAAATCCTTGGCAATAGCTCTGCATTGCTTTTTCCTAGAGCAAGCATCCAAAGGGATTTTCAGCTCAGCTGAACTGACAAAAGTCATGGAGAGGGAGGAGGGAAAGAAGGGAAGGAGGTACAGGAGGGACCTGAGGGAGCTGGGCTTAGGGTGGCAGGGAAGGGATGTGGTTCTGCTTGGCTTTTCTCCTCTCTCAGCTCCACCTGTGCCCAGCAAGATGCTGCTCTTCAGATCAGGGAAAGGGTGAATGATTGGGGAGGGGCTAGATTTTGTGGGAAAGGGGGAAATAATGCACAAAAAGCCATTGTGGTGATGGTACCCATGCTGCTGTGAGCTGCTGGTCCTAGTGCCACTCCCTGCCACCCTAGGGATGCTCTTTCCCAACGCATTTCCAACCCACTCAGCAGAACACATCCCATCTGCGTCTCTCCAGACCTCTCTCCAGCCAGCTTTCCAGAGAGATTTGCTGTTCAGTATTTGGACAGGGTCTGGGAGAACATTTGAGGCACATGAATGAAAACCTCAGCAAAGGGCATATGGGTGCCCTGGATGTGTGCTGGGCTCTATTTTAAAGCTGTTCACAATTGAAATGTCTCAATTTAAATATGTCTAGTTATAGTGAAAAACAAATTAATTGCCTTTTTGTCTTGTTAACCTCACCTTGCTCTGTGGACTGCAAGCTACAGCAATTAGCTCCTGTTGTCCTAATCCTTTGTTATCACTTATAACTTGGAGTTCAAGACCTCTTGGCATGAGTTGTCTCTCCTGTGCACATTTGCAAATTATGTTGGAGATGTCTTGTCGTTTGGAGGCACCTGCTTGGTACCTGGGATGCAGGAAAACATCAGCATAGGAAACATCACCAGGAGGCAGGAGGGGACACGAGATGGAATAGGAAAGATGGAAACAAATCTTGCAGCAATCCTGAAGAACCAGCAAATCCAATCATTTGCAGATGTTGGGTGGTTCCTGCCTTCCAGGGACTATTGTTTCTAGCCCTGTTATTTATCAGTTTGCTCTGGGGGATGGTGGCAGGAGGGCCAGGTCCTGGCAAGAGGACCATGGCCAAGCCTGCCATCCCAAGGGTGCGGGTGGCTGGGGAAGGGGAGACCCAGGGTCCTGGTCCCTGTTGGACAGGGCTCTGAGTAATCTGATCTGGTTGGAGATGTCCCTGCTCACTGCAGGGGGATTGGACTAGGTGACCTTTAAAGGTTCCTTCCCACTCAAACCACAGATTCCTTTCAGGGTCCTTTGGTGCCATTCAGGGTCACCTTCTTATTGCTAATTAGGGCTTGCAGGGATAGAGCTGGGACTCCCTCGGGCTCAGGACTGTGTTGTAACAGTTTTGACCATTTCTAAGAGCAAAAAAGACTCCTTTTTATTTAATTTCTGAGAAGCTTTTTCCCCTACCCTGGATGAGGGATGGAAGTTGATCTGAGTTTCACAAGCCACACGAACTGTTGCGGGGATGCCCGGGGCTCCTTCCTGCTCGCCTGTTGTTTTCTCATGCCAGCAGCATGGATTTAGCAAACCTCCCATGAAATCAGTGCCCTTAAACTGCTGATTTCTCTGCATCCATGCAAGACTTCTCCATCGGCCCCTGGGCTTGCAGTGCTGGAGTTGATCAGGAGCAGCTTTAAGATGAAGAAATTCACACGAGGCACCGCAGATCCTGGCAAAACCCTGTGAAATCCCACATCTTCCTGTCATTCCTGCATCCAGCAAAGCCACAGGGAGTGGTGATAGCTGTGGCTTGGGCTGTGTCATCATGGGTGACAAGAAGTGCTGCTTTAAAGCTGGGTAATTAGGCCATATCCTCTATTTTTTGTATTTATTTTTTTTTTAAACTAGACCATGAAGTTGCATTTTTGCTTCTGATTCTTAAATCCACCATGGTATAAGCAGAGCAGTGTGTTGCCATCAGCAAAGGCAGCATGGAAACTCTTTTTTCTATGACATATATGTATGCTTTTCCTTTCAACAGGTTTTGTTTCTTTTAAAATGTAGACATTTAACACCCAAGCCCTAGGCTGGAAGCTGCCAGGTTTCTGATCCACACAGCTCCCCATCCACCTCTGCTGCTGGGCGTCCGAGTCAGAAAGCAGAAACCATGTGAGAGGAGCTCAGGATCGGCCACCAGTTTTCATACAAAGTCACAAGAACAGAAAAGTGCCCAGGAGCAGCTCTGCCCTTCCCAAAAGACCTCGAGCCATTGGGAAGAAAGTGTCTGGTGAGGAGGGATATGACATGGAGCCCTCCCAGCTAATGGGCTGCTGCTTTCATCTCCCCCTGACGAGCATCTGTAAAGCTTTGGTCTAGAAATTGTTTTTATAGCTAATTTTTCTTCAACCTGGCTTTTATCTCCCTGCTGAAGGCAGGAAAGCCCTTTTTTGTGGGCAATAAAGGGTCTGGGCAGTGACAGGGGTGGGATGTGGCTGCTCCCAGGCAGGCACCTTCTGCAGCTCCTGCCACAGTGGGGTGGGCAAACACCAGTGTTTCCCAATCCCGGCCTTTTCTGGCTCATTTCCCATTTGATCTCTTCATGTGTCATGCTCTGATGAAAAACAAACAAATGTCAGAGCAGTCAGCCCTGAGGCCACCTTGCCCGCAGCTGGTGCCAGAAACACCTCTCTGGAGCCAACTGCATTCCCCCAAGACCTGTCATGGCTGTGTGTGGTTGCCCAATATTTTTGGGAAACACATGTTGTGCTTTGGGGAAAGTGTGTGTGTGTGTGTGTGTGTGTCGTGTCCCCCCCCCCATTTTATTATTTTATCAGGACCTGGGGAGGATGAGCAGCCCTGGGGCTGGGTGGTGAGGTCTCAGGGCTCAGCTGCTGCTGCCTCCTGGCCAGAGGAGAAGGACCAGCCCCCTAAATGAAGTCAAGCACCTGAGTCTTTCCAATATGCTGCCTAAACACTTAAATATGTGGTTTGTGTCCGGCAGGACTTCAGTTCATGCTTTGCTAAGGCAGGGGCTGGTTTAGGCTTGTGCGTGGAGTCTTATGTTATTTGTGCTCAAGGGTTTTACTGGACTGGGAGAGGAATCTGGGCCCTGGCTCGGAGCTCATAAGGAGCTGAGCTTTGCCTAGTCCATCTGTCCATTCATCCTTAATTCCCTTCAAATAGAGCTGTTGTCTCCACAGCAGCCCTTCCAAAGGAGCCAGAGAGGGTTGCTGGATTGTGGGGTGGTGATGTGGGCACTGGCAGGATGCACCTCAAATCTTAGATTCAGTTTTGGGCCCCTTGTGACAAGAAGAGCATTCAGGAGCTGGAGCATGTCCAGAAAAGGGCAACAGAGCTGGGCAAGGGTCTGGAGCACAAGTCTCATGAGGAGCAGCTGAGGGAACTGGGGATGTTCAACCTGGAGAAAAGGAGGCCGAGGGGAGACCTTCTTGCTCTCTGCAGCTTCCTGAAAGGAGGTTGGACCGAGGGGGGTTAGTCTCTCCTCCCAAGGAACAAGTGATAAAGATAAGAGGAAAGGGGCTCATATTGTGCCAGGGCAGGTTTAGATTGGATTTTTAGAAACAATTCCTTTCCTCAAAGGGCTGTCAGGCTCTGGCATGTGCTGCCCAGGACAGTGGTGGAGTCACCATCCCTGGAGAGAATTAAAAGCCATGTAGATGTGGATCTGAGGGACATGGTTTAGTGGTGGCCTTGGCAGTGCTGGGTTCCTTGTTGGACTTGATGATCTCAAAGGTGTTTTCCAACTAAAACAATTCAATGGGATGCTGGGATGGGTCTAGGCTGCAGTTTGCATTGCTCCTGCATCCCATTTTGGTGGGCGATGCCCGTGGTCCGTGCTGGGCTCTGTGCCTGTGGGTGATGCTGACCCCAGCTCTCCTTGCAGGTGGACTGGCTGCAGCAGCAGGAGGTGAAGCGGCGGGTGAAGAGGCAGGCCCGAGGTGAGCCACACGCCCTGCCCTTCAACGACCCCGTGTGGCCCAACATGTGGTACCTGGTGGGTATCTCCCTTCTGCAGCCCCTCGAGGAACCTGCTGCTCTGGGCAGGGGGGTCGATTTATTTTTAACCCAACGCGTCATCAGTCCTTGCTCAGCCTGGCCAGTAATGAAACACCTGAATATCAACAAATGTGTTTGGCAGCAGGATTTAAAAATGGTAAATTAATACCCAGCAGAGTCTGGTTTGAAGTGTTTCACCATCATGAGCAGCTCCTCACTCCAGGCTGCACAGCAGAGGCTGGGGAGCAGTGTGGCTGCAGTGCCCGTGCCTTCTGCCCACCTGAGAGCTGCAGACATCTCTTTGCCATGTCATTGTTCTCCCTCCTGCTGCATCGATCTGGGCATGACAGGGAAATTCATTGAAAATTAAGCACAGAAAGGAAACGAGG